TTTTCTATCTCACACCCAGTTTTCTCTATTTTCAGGGGAGCAAAAGGGTTTCATGCTGGCAAGTCCTGGAGCCCACTTCTGGTCTTTTCCTTCACATCATCTTCATCCTATAATTTCTATATCTGTAACCTGTCTCCTCCTCTTCACTTTACCCCTGGCATCACCCTAGTCAAGGTGATTAGTGACCCCTAACTTGCCAAATTCTGTGGCCCAGCCATAGTCCTGAGTTTCCTTGGCCAGTGGAAGGAGTGTGGCCCATGACTGCCCCCTCCGAATCACCTGCAACACCAGGCCTGGGTGGAGGTGCTGGTACCTCCTTGGAGGTCTTACCACCAGGCTTTCATATTGCCACCCCCAAGTACTGGTCATCCCTCAAGTTGTTAAGCTCTCAGTCCTATCCCCAAAATGTCAGCTTCCCCACATGCTGGGAGGCTAGCCCAATGACTGTTTCCCTGGAGTAGAAGAGACAAGGACTGGGATCCAGTTGGTCACTTGCTGTGTGACCTTGGCTATCAAGGTTTCCTTCTCTGAGTTTCTTTGAGAAAATGTAAGGCTAAAACGTGACTAGATGGAGGCCTAGAGTCCACACCCTTCCTCCATGGAGTCCCATTCTCATCCCTCCCACACCCCTTTCCTGTTCAGTGCTCCTCACACCTCTCAGGGAAGGCTTCAAGGTTGAGAGAAGGTAAGCTAATGGTGCCTTTCTCTGCCTTCATCCAGCCCTGCAAGTTCCTACCAAGCACACCTCTAAAAATGCCCCCATCATCATTAACATGCTTTCCAGCCCCTGCCTCAGGGCAACCACTTTCACCTCAGCCTGCTCCTGACAGGTGGGTTGCTGCCGCCCACAGACTGTGCTAACCGGGAACTCAGATTCCTTGCTTGAGCTTTCTTTCTCATTTCCAACTGCGAAGTGCAAATGATGATGATGGTACCTACTTCATGGGATCTGTTTGAGGATTTCTAACTAGAAAGTATCTAAAATGGTAAGTGCACTCTATTTTTACAGATAGGAAAATCAGAGAGGGTAGCTGCTTGCATTGAGGCACACAGCTGGTGATGGCAAAGGCCTGACAGGAACCCAGGTCTGCCCGTGTCACTTTCAGCATACCACCTGCCAGTAAGACTTCTCCTTCAGGCCCCCCCATTCCAAGTCAGGGGTTGGGTTCGCCTGGAGTTTGGTCAGAAGTCGGTCCTGTAGGACCTAGGGGATGCATCAAGGTTGAAGGCAGGCATTGAAAGGAGGAAGTGTTCTGTGTGCACCCCTGCCCAGTCTGAGGGGTGGCCCACTACCCACTCCAAAGAGGAGTGTGCAATCCAGGTCAGTAAGTCAGACCTCAGACTGCCCCAGGGGTGGGCACATACTCAGTCCAGTGAGTATCAGCCCTCGGGCTTTTGCTGGAACCACAGGAAAGATTCCATAGGGGGTGTGGTCAGGATATGGGCCTGGAGCTACCATCTTTGCCAATAATGGGAATAGCCACCTGACAATAAAGCCAGCACCCCAGAAAGCTGAGAGTGAGAGTCCCTATAACACTCATGGGTACCAGGTCCGACCATGTCTAAAGTCTTTCATTTTTTCAGCAATTATCTGTTTCTGGTTAAACTCATTCAGGTGTCAGCTGAAGGAGTCCTTTCTAAGTAAGACCCCAAGTAGTGGTCAGTTTTGTCAGCAGCTAGGGACATGGGCTTGCTGTTCCCCCTAGGCTGGCCCTGGGGTTTAGAATTGCTCCCTGACCATTCCTTGGTGTTCCACCACACCATCTCCCAGGGTGGGTCCCAGCCTCCTGAATCTTCCCCAGGCACCCAGCAAGCTCCATGCCTCACCAGGCCCACTGGACCCCTAGCCGGGGAGGGCCCTTCCGAACTCTCTCTCTGTAAGCTTTGGACTCCAGCCAACCACAGCTGTCTGTCCTGTGCCGGCCCCTTCGGCCAGGACTACAGTTCCCTTCCACAGCAGGCTGCTCAGTGGGGTCCACAGGATTGTGTGTATCTTGTGTGTAATCAAGGCCACACGGGGCTGGACACTAAGGAGGCAGTAACAGAGGCATCAATGCCTGCCTCTGTACTCTGTGCTCTGGGTGAAGCAGTTCCTCACCCTCCACCACCTCTCTCCCTGCTGACTTCAAATAGGCTCCAGCCATTTAGAACTGGAAAAAAGCCCCTCTGCTGCCTGCTGTCTCCATTTGCCCACTCAGCCCCCTGCTGTGGGCTCTGCCCCCTTCATTGGGGAGAATATGCTCTCTGAGGGTGCTAATGGCTTCTCCTGCATGGCACAAGGACATTTCCCAGTTCCACAGGCCTCCACCAGTACAGCCTGCAACCCCAGCTTTGGAACTCTGTGATCTCTGTAGCCTGTGGTAGTGGTTGGGGCAGCTGGGAGATGCAGTGGGGAGCACTTCAGTCTTTAATCTTTGTTGCTGTCATCCAGGCTACTCCAGCTAAGTGGCTTGCGACAGATCACTTTCCCTGTCTTGAGCCTGAGTTCCTTTATCTGAAATATGTCTTTAATGACATTTAAGTGTATTACAATGATTAAAATAACATGTGGGGGCCTCCCTGGTGGCCTAGGGTTAAGCCTCAGTGCGACAACCTGATTGGATCCTGGCCAGGGAGCTGACCCATAGGGTGCAGCAGACCTCTCCAGTCTCCGCTGCTCCCCTCAGCAGTGTACTTCGTCTATCTGCCTGTTCTGCTCCCCACTGTTTACAGTAAATCTTCCCAGATACCCCCCAATGCTCCCCACCTCTGGCCTGCACCCAGAGGTTCTTTTACGCAGAATAAATAAAACCTTAAAAAAAACTGGCATCCGAACGACCACTGGTTCCCAGCAGAGGCAGCCGCTGTGCAGAGCTGCCCACCGCCATGCTCGTGTTCATTTATTTTCTAACCTCCTCTCATCTAGGCTTTTCACCCCAGATGCCCAGCGACTGCAACCGTCCTCCCTTGGGATACGCGTCCCAGCTTCCACCCATCTAGGTGGCTCAGCTGACTAGCTCAGAGCCAGTCTAGTCCATTGTCCTCATGGACTGCCACAGACAAGCCTCTTAAAAGAGCTGTCCACACTCTCTCCTCCACACCCTCACCACCGGCCTGCCTTGCTTCTCTAACCCTGGCAGCCACCCCAGCTCTCTACTAAACTGATCTGGCAAACATCACCTTGTTGCAAAATGCCTTGGGGACTTCTCGGCCTTATCTGCCCGGTTGACACTGTTGGCAACTTCTGGAAACACTCCTGCCCTGCCCCAGCCTCCCTGCCCAGAGTCCTTCCGAGGCTGTTGTCCTCTTTCTCTGGTGGCGCCTGCTTTCTCTGCCTAGGGCTGTGCTGTCACTGCTTCCCCATCTCTCTTCTCCTTGCTGGGCTCCTGACCATGCTCGCATTGATTTTTTTCTTAATTAGGATTAAAAAAATTTTAGTTGCCAACATTCATAAACCAGATTTCACATTAAAGTCTGAATCTCTGGATGCTGTTGGTAAAGTGCAGAGGTGGCCACAGTCGGCATCCCACGCAGCGCTCTAGGTTAGGTTCCGAGCAGTGCTCACCAGCTGGCCCCTGCACTCTCGTTCACTTGTATCCATGGAAACCAAGGATGGACTGAGAGGGCTTCATGGTTCAAGACAAATGCGAGAGAGTATGTTTCTTTGTGGAAGCAAAAGATACTCTGTGTCTAACACGCTAGGATGTTCTGCTCCAAAGAAAAGCTATCCTACCTGCCTTACTGGGTGGGAGGCACCTGCCGTGGACCCCCCACCTCCAGCTCTTCAGCTCTCCCTGGGCATCAATTACAAGCATCTGTGATAGCTGACCTGAGCCTGTCCCAAACTTATTTCCAAATTGACTCTTAAGTGAAACACTTTACTCTTCAGTCTCAGTCATTCAAAAAATGTCATTAGGTGTCCTCTTCTGTGCTAAGCAGGGTTCTAGGCTCTGGCAAGATATCCTGAAACAACCCAGGGAGTCCAGCACACTCTCCAGGGGTCTGAGAACACACAGGTCACTTTCTCTTCTCTGAAAAGGTGGGGCTTTAAGGACCTGCAGAGATGCTGACTCCAGGTGTTGATGATGCCAGGGGGCCCCAGAGTACCAGTGGCAGTGGTCATACTGCGCTGTCCTAATTTGGGCCCTCTCTTAAACTCCTCTTCCAGTCCCCCTAGACTGGTGAGGGAGCACCTGGGGAAAGCTGGGGCCATTATCAGCGCCCCTAGGCTTTAAAGTGCCCGGCAGCAGCACGCTTCGGGGATGCACTCCTGGTGAATGAGTCGCCAGTCCTGAGACAGTGTTTCCAGTTTCAGGCCTGGCTTCTGGTCTGGCTTGTGGCTCAAGGACTGTATGACCTTGGTCAGGTCTCCTAATCCGGCAGATTCTCCCCAGGGGTGCTGGGAGGATCTTGAGAGTATAAGCAAGGCTGGTACATCCTGTTTGCCAAGCAAAGTTGCCTCCCCCGTTGGTCCCAATCTAGGCTCCCTAGGACCTAGGCTCCAATTCTGCCATGTTACTTTCTGCTCCTTCCTTCCCTGACTGCTGCCCCTCCTCCCAGACTCTCTCCTCCATCCTCTTACAACACAAATCTGAACTCTCTGCTTTGCTATTTCTAACTGTCCAGAGTACACTGACTCCCAACCCTCAGCACCAACCTGCCCTCAGGGACAGTCCCAGCCTTTCCATCTGGCACCTGCAGACCCCCTCCAGCCACCCCCCCTCCCCCCAAGATCTGGGTTGTCCTCTCCTTTTGCTGTAGAATACAATGGCAGTGACAACTCTGGCCCTTGTTGCTGTTTGCCGTATCTAGTCTCTGCTGATAACCCTCACCTCCTCTGATCTCCAAGTCACTGACCCAGGTACCCTCCATGTTTGTAGGCCCTGGGTCCAACACATGGAGTCCCCTTATCGCCTCTCCCTGTCCGTGGGCCCTCCATGTGCCCATCACAGGGACCACCAGGATGGGAAAACCATCTTAATCTCCATGTTCCTGATATGCAGGGAAAAATACTGATGGGACACAGCTGGTTACAAGTTTATTGTGGCACTGAGGTGTACAGGGGCTGGTGTGGCCAGCACCGGTGTGTGATGGTGATGGAGGGAATTGGGGATAATGAGGGGGTGAGGCTGGGTCCAGGGAACCCCAGTCTCCGGCCAGGAGTCAGGTTATGATGACCTCTGTCAGCCCTGCCCAGAAATCTCAGTGTTGACTTCAGAACCTGCGAGGAGGTTGCAGTGGGCGGAGCCAGGCAGCAGTGGGCGGGGCCAAGCAGCAGTGGGAGGGAGGGGCTCACACGTGGGAGAAGGCATGGCTCTTGCACAGGGGCTTGTCTTTCTTGGAGTAGAAGGTCTTCCCTTCCAAGTTGATCTGACATATCTGTGGAAAGCCACCATCCAGTCACATGGGATTGGGGTGGCAGGACAGGTTCCTTCCCAAATTCTCATGAATCCCACAAGCAGAGGGTTGGGGAGGTTGGCCAAAAACAAATACACACACACAGGGGGCCGGGGTGGGACGCCAACCAAGAGCATTACTCACTGCGCAAACGAAGCACGTATCATGCCAGCTGAAGCCCAGTGCCTCTAGGAAGCGGTCCCCGGCATCGATCTTGAAGTCACAGCCACGGCATTTAGTGCCAAACATCTTCTCGTAGTCTGGGGAGGGACAGAGAGAGGAGGGGCATGCTGGATTCTTGCAGGGACGGGCACCCTGTGCTCCTCTCTCCTTGCTCCATACCTCGCTCGCAGTAGGGTGCCCCTTCTTCCATGTAGAAGGCCCTGTTCCGGATGGGTGTCTTGCAGGCCGCGCAGGTGAAGCAGTGAACGTGCCACGTCATTTTCAGGGCATGCATGATCTCCTGGGAGGACAGTCAACGGGATCAGCTCTTTGGCCTCCTCTCCAGAGCCATGATCACAGAGGCTTAGAACCCTCTTCCTTCCATTGTAAACATGTCTGCATCCCCACCACTCTTCTGTCCCCAACCGGAGGTCTCCTCGTGGACATTCATACCTCCTCTAATCCCAACCAGCTACGCATTTCTCTGGGGCAAAGCCAAGGCCCTATCGAGGGTCAGTTAGGTAGGCCTGGAACTCTCTGTTCCCCTAATTAAGCCTCTTGCCCACGATCGATGTACACCTGTCTTGGGGCTTCCCACCCACTGCCCCCTCTGTTCAGATGCCCCCAAGGCTCAGCCTGCAACTCCAAGTTTCTGCTTAAATGGGGCCATTCTGTCTTGTGGGTGCATACTCCCACCCACCTCCCAGTGCTGCCTCCCAAGTACAGTTAATTGATCTATTGTGTCTACTATTTACTGTCTGTCTCCTACTTAAGTGTAAGTTCCCAGAGGGCATAAACCAGGAATAGTTCCATTAACAGTGCCTTACCATGCTCTGTACAGGGGTAGGAGGGGTCGGGGGAGAACCAGAGGTTCACAGGCTGGGCTTTTAGTATCTGGCCAGCAGGGATCAGATGTCCCATTGGAGGGCAATGTGGGGGCCTTGAGAAGGGCCAGATCTGGGTTCAGCCATACTTGGCTTCTTACCTGGTTGACTTGGCCAATAGCCAAGTCCTGACCTTGGTCTCTTCCCTGTGATGGACCCTAACCCCACTACACTTCAGGGTTACAAGGATGATCACACATTTGAAGGCAGACCAGAGCCTGCCAGGTCCTGGTGGTACACACGATGGGGAGAGGGGTAGAGGACGGGGGGACAAAGTGCTGGCTGTGCCTGGAGGAGTGACATGGCATTCAGGAATGTCTGGTGGAAGGCTCAGGCTTCAACCAAGGTGTTAAAGCAAAATCTCCTGACTTTTAAATGTTGCCCATTAAGTTAAAGGTTAGAGTGGAACACTGTGTAAATGTGGGTGGCATCTGCCTCTCAATGGCCTGTCTATGCTTGCTGCATCGGGGTCACATCACATATAGACTGCACAACCACCAGGGTGACTGCCACCTATATTTTATTTTATTTTTATTATTTTTTTAAAGGCTGATTTACTCATTCATGCATACAAGAACTGGGGTGTAGGCCAGAAGTGTAGGGGGTAAGAGGATTCACCAGAGACAGAATGGGGAACAGAACAGGCAGATCTACTGAAATACACTGTTGATGGGAGAGGCGGAGGAGATGTCTGCTGCGCCATGTGGGTTAGTGCCTGGCTGGGGATTGAGTTCGTGCCCAACTCATGCCACAGTGAGTGGTGATAGCTGAATTTCTATGCCCCCAGGGAGGCCCTACCACCTCCATTTCAGTGAGGCCCAAAGAAAGCAACTCACAGGGCCAACAGATGACAGAAATGCGTTTTGTTCCCACTTCTATCTGGGTGGCTCACCTACTACCTGGTGTTGCTTCTTTCCTTTAAAGGAACATGCAGAGGATCAAGGTGAAGGTGGGTAGCTGCAAGCAGGTAGGGCAGTTCAGGCAGGAGTGTGGGAAGCTCAGAGCTGGGCCTAGTGAGCAAGGAGGCAAATTTCTGCCAGAATTCAGAGCCAGTTATCAATTTCTTTCCTTCTTTTTTCTTTTTCTTTTTGTAAAAAGAACTCGGGTATAGATCAGAGGTACAGAGGGTGAAAGGATCCACCAGAGACAGAGTGGGGAGCAGAAAAGGCAGACTGACTGAAATACACAGCTGAGGGGGGCAGCAGGCGAGACAGGAGAAGTCTGCAGTGCCATGGGGGTCACCCCCGGCTGCCAGGGATCAAACTCATTCTGCAGGGGCTGTGGACAGTTTCATAGTGCTCACTTTCACCCAGTTACCACATTCTAATTTACCCTGTAATGAATCTGAATCTGTCTACCTCTCCCAACCTTACTGCCCTGGCCCAGGCCCTGGAAGCCCAGACCCTACTTTCTAGTTCTCTTCTTTCAGAGAAGCTTCTCAAACACCTCTGACCTCATCAATCCCAGATCTAAACTCACCATGACTGCCAGCCTCTTCCACCTCATTTTACACCCTTCCCATGTGCTGCCTTGTGACACAAGCTTTTCCCTCTGCCTTTGCATGCTCTCTGACCTTTCTCCAACCTACTCACATTTTATGTTCTACTTAGAAGTCATTTCCAGACCCTCTCTGGTGGCACAACGGGTTAAAGCACAGCACTACATAGCAGCAACCTCTTCAGCATGAGTACAGTCCCATCCAGGGGGGTGACCCACAGGCACGGCAGACCTCTCCTGACCTGCCCACTGCTCCCCTCAGCAGGTTACTTCGTTCATCTGCTTGTTCTGCTCCCCACTCTGTCTCTGGTGAGTCCTCTCACTGCCCCTGCACCTCTGGCCTGTACTAGAGTTCTGTATGAATAAATAAATAAATAAATAAATAAATAAATAAATAAATAAATAAATACATTAAAAAAAACAAAGTCATTTCCATTCACTTCTTCAAGTATTTACTGACCACCTCTTACATTAGGGGCATCTAAGCATACCCCAGCCTCCCTTGCAGCTCAGTGTTGGAAGCAGAGGGTTTGATGGCAGCATCTTCTAATATTGGCCATGAGCCTTCAACCCTTTTGCTTCTTCCAGCTTCCTGGAAATTTTGCCTGAGGTGCAAGAACATCTTAAACTATGAGTGGTAGGTAAGAATGGCTGAGCCAGAATCTACCACATTACGCTCAGTTTGCCACCTTCATACTTTCTTAGGTGAGAAGAAAGCCACTATAATTTTGAGTCTTCTACAACAAGTGGTTAGGGTAATCTTTACTAACATCGATATCACTGCATATGGAACTCCCTGGTGGCACAAGGGGTAAGGCTCAGCACTACGAATCTGTCCCCAGCCAATGCGGCATGAATTCAATTGCTACCCAGGAGGTGACCCACATGGTGCAGCAGCAGACTCTCCTGTCTCACCTGCTGCTCCCCTCAGCAGTGAGCTTCAGTAGATTCACCTGTCTGCTCCCTCTGCCTCTGGTGAATCCTTTCACCTTCTGCACCTCTGGCCTACACCCCAGCTCTTGTATTCATAAAGTAAATAAAGTAAATCTTTAAAAAAAAAAATCATGGCATAGCTCTCTAGCCACACCTGGCTCTGGATCCAGAAATAAGAAGCATAAATAGCAGAAAGAACCCAAACTGGGAGTTACTGGGGCTTCGGTCTGTTCCCAGCTTGATCTTGCAGTTTCTGATCCTCTGACCTTTAATTCCAGCACGGGTACAACAGGCACCCTCTCAGCTAGTCACACAGCCTGATTTGTGTCCTCTTCCACTGGCTCTGCTCTCAGCTGCTAGTACCCTGTGAGCCCCACTCATCCCCCAAGGTGAGTTTCAGGAACAGCCAGCTGAATGGCCCATCTCTTTCTCACAAGGTGTCCCCAACATGGGCACACTGCCTAGCACATTCAGTAAATGGAATGAATGAAGAAAGCATTCATAAAAAGCTCTGACCCAAGTCCCAAGCCTGCTCTGGGTGTCAGCTAGGTTGCTCTCCAGGAAACCTGACTGGGCCACATGGTCTATTTTACACCAGTGGGAAAGACAGGATTTTGCACCATGAGCTTCGAGTCTGAATTTCTGGCTCGGCCACTCAGCCATCTTATCCCTCTTAATACACCAAGCCCTCTTTCTGAATAGCAGGTTTCTCTTGCATTAAGGCAGCAGGCACAGTGGACTGGCCTGTCACAACACAGTTCTCTTCCCCCTACCTCTTTTATTGCTGCTGGAAGCTCACAGAGTTTTGCTTTCCTATGGTTCAGGTGCTCATAGGACAAAGAGTTCCAAACACTGAGATAAAGATGCAAATTCCTAGTTTTTCTTTCAAAGTCAAAAGGAGGGGGTGGGGGGAATTCCTTAAGAGAATGACACCTGCAGGCCTCCCTGGTGACGCAGGGGTTAAAAATCTCAGTGCTATGAAGCTATCCCCAGACACTTGGGCACAGTTCAATCCTTGACCAGGGACCTCTCCTGTCTTGCCCGCTGTTTCCCTCTGCAGTGTATTTCAGTAGATACACCTGTTCTGCTCCCCACTCTGTCTCTGGTGAATCTCCTCCCACCCTGGACCTCTGGCCAACACCCCAGTTCTTGTATGCATGAATAAATAAAAATAATTCTTAAAAACAACAAAAAAAGAGAACGACACTTGCCCTTTCTCATTCATTCCTGCCTGTGGCAAGAATACTAGGTTTGGCCCTTCCTGGTGGTGCAGTAGGTTAAAGCACAGCACTGAGAGGCTAAAGCCACATCAGCAAGAGTTTGATCCCCGCCCCAGAGGTGATCCATATAGCGAGGCAGACCCCTCCCAACCCGCCCGCTGCTCCCCTCAGCAGTGTACTTCGTCAGTCGGCCTGTTCTGCTCCCCACTCTGTCTCTGGTGAATCCTCTCACCTCCCGGCACCAGTTCTTGTATACACAAATAAATAAATCTTTAAAAGGAAAGAAAAGCTTAGGAATAGAGGTCAATATAGGCTAAAATTTCAAGCAAAAACAACCTACAGGCATCTCTGAAATTTTTATGACTGCAGTAAATAGCCCCTCTGCTTAAATCTCTTTCGGGTTTTCTGCTGACGCGGTGGAGTGTTATCCCACCGACACAGCAGCCAGTCTGGCCTGACCAATGCTTCCTTTCCTTCTTTGGGTAACATCCTCCTGGCTTTATTTCAGGGCCCCTCAATCTCAGATGTGGTTTAGGTGGGGCGCCAGGCCCCACTGGTGTCTTGCCAAGGCTGGCCAATGAGAGCCCGGAGCTTGGTTCAGGGATGGGCATGGGTGATGGCGTTGGATCCAGTGTTCCTGCTGGCGCAGAGGTATACTGCCAAGCTGAGGAGCTGGAACCCTGCGGCACTGTGGCATCACCTTGGCTCCCTTCTAGGGAAAGCATGCAGGGAACAAAGCCAGCACAGATGGAAAACAGAGGCAGGTGACACCAAGAGTCCCAGTGACCTTGGTACCTTTGTTAATTCTGCTGGGCCTGAAAGCGAGCACCCCTGTGCCTTGGCAGTTGGTTACTTGAGCCACTATGCTTCTTTCTTGCTTGAACTCTTGAGAACCTTTCCCGTCACCTGTTAAGAGGATCCTGGCTACCCAGAGTGGCTGGTTTGTTGGGCTGCTAAGGAGACAGGCTTGTGCAGGGAGAACCCCAGGCTAGGGGTTGCTTCTCAGTGCTGACCAGGTCAGGACCGCCTTCCACCCTCCTGCCCACCATCCCCACTCACGCCCGTGATCTTCTTTTTGCACTTGGCACAGCTGGGAGCGTAGCGCATGTCATAGCAGGGTGGGCAGAAGATCGAACCCTTCTCCTCGAAGAAGCCACCCTCTTCCAGAACCTTCCCACACTGGCTGCACACAAACTCCTCAGGGTGGTATGCGTGGCCCAGGGCCACCAGGTAACGGCCCCTGAGGGGAAGGTGACATGGTAAGAAGGATGCAGTGTGGTGGAGCTCAAGTGGATTTACTCAGTGCCTGTTATGAAGCCCGGATGGTTTCACACCATCTCTTTTTCCAGAAAGGGGAGAAAATAGTAGCCTTGTTCCAGGTCACATGGTGGGAGTGGTGAAGAGGCACGCTAATGACACCAGATAAGCCAGGGGGGGCGATGTGGAAACACCAGAGGTTACACTACTGAGGGCTGCTGAACCAGGCCTAATAAGGCAAACCTGAGGGACTGGTGTGGGGTGCAGTGGGGGGAGGCCAGAATGCCCACGAGTCCTGAAGACTAGTAAGCAGACTCTGGTGTCCACTCTGTTCTTGCTTATGCCATATGGTCTGAGGAAGAGCCTGCAGACCCCAAATAAATGGGGTGCCTGAAGGAGGGAGCTCTTTGTAGAGCCTAAGAGATGATGAGAGGAGGGCAGAAACAGGAAGGCTCTAGAATCTGGCACATGTTTCTGGGGGGCGGTGGGACCTGCTGGACTCTAGGAAGCAACTCAGAGAAGGAGGGGTTCTGGCTTAGCAGAGAAAGACAGTGAACAGGAGAGAAAAGAGGCACAAGGACTGGGAGGAGGTGGGCTCTTCTTTGTCCAAAGAGCAGCAAGTCTGGGGGTGTAGCAAGGCCTGTTGTTAGCATTTTCTTCACTTTATCAGGGCAAACCCTGAGAAGGATTGATGTGGGGCAGGGATAACGCAGAATGCCAAATCTACGGACCCAGATCAGGTCTTGACCTCGACTTCAACTCCCACAGTGGCAGCTGAGATGATGGACCAAGGAACAGAGATGGGAAAGATGCCAGGATCAGACTGTGGGACAGGAAAGGCCAGGCAAGGAAAGAAACATAGTCACCCACCGGATGACCTTGCGACACTGGTGGCACACGGGTGTCTTGCCATTGCCACCACCTGTCCCTCCTGTGCCCCCTCCGGTGGCTGCCTGCACGATGGAGGTTCGGTTCTGCAGAGGCGTGGGCGTGGCTGGCTGGCTGTGCCGGGTGAGCACCGTGCTGGTCTTGTCGGGGGCATAGCGCTCAGCAAAGGCAGGGTCCACAGCCCAGGGCGGGCGGCTGGTGGGGGTAGGGGTGGTAGGGCCTGCCAGAACCAAGCAAAAAGGTTCCAGAGAGCACCCCCCAGGGACCCCAATGGGCAGGGGAAGCACCCAGGGTGACTTGAAGGAGCCCACAGCCCCCATACCCCCTGGAGTTTCCCCACCCTTGCCCAGGTCCAACTTCCTTCTCTCACCAGGCCAGGGTTCCTGGGGTGGAGCTGAGGCTGGGGCGGGGGCTTCTGTCCTGGGTACCTGGCTGCAAGATCCACCGTTCAAGGACCTGCATAGCTGAGGCTCCGGCAGGGTCCCACCCCCACAACCTGCTGTTCCCATGGGAGTTGTCTGGGCCCATGAAAGCTGCTGGGCAGGTTCCAGGTGCTACTAGGGCAGGGCTCTCACTCTTGGTGATCCCTGAGGTTGGCTCAGACGGCAGGGAGCCCTTTGCTGGTACCTCAGCCCAATGAGACCCACACTAGCAGGACCCACACTGGCTCGGTGCCACCTACACCCCAAACCTACAACCCAAATCAAGCCCACAAAGAGAGAAGACAAAAGCAGAGAAAGCAGGGCTGAGAACGTTTATTTTCATGCCCAAATCAGCACAGACCCAGCAGATAACAATACCATAGGGCAAAGAGGGAAGGCAGTGTCAGATGGAGCCAGGCCCTGTGCCAGGTGGGCAGCAGACTCAGTCCAGGGGCAGGAAAGTGGTGAGGCAGGTAGAAGCTGGAGGCACCAAGGGGATGCCCTGGGCGGGAGGAACAGAGAGAGAGGCAGAGAGCAGCCAGCCGGCGAGGGCCAGGCTAGGGCTGCACGTTGAGCACATGGGCAGAGCGCTGGTGGTGCCAGTCCCGGAGGCGGGTGTAGCGTGGGCTCTGCAGCTCCAGGACATACTTTTCCCTGAGGGGCAGAGAGAGAAGGAGGAGGAAGTAGAAGGAAGGAGAGATGGAAGGGAAGTTGGGAGGACCGGGAAGGAAGGAAGGTAGGCAGTAGGAAGGCAGAAGGAAGAAAGACAGAGTAATGGAAGAATGGGGGAGGGCAGGAGGAGGGTGGCGAGCCCTGGATGGGGACTGCCAGGGCAGCATCAGGAGTGCTGGCTGAAGTGGGAAAGGCAGGAGGTGAGAAAAAGGGCTTATGCGCAACGTTTACCTTGACATCTTCAGTTGCTCCTCATCCGGGTCTTGCACTGAGAAGGGAGAGACAAGCACTGGCTAAGAGAAGACACAAAGCTACCTTGCCCTGAGCCCTGGCAGTGGGGTACCAGAGTGGTCTCCTTGACCCAAGGTTTAAGCTGGAGGCCAGGAGAGTCCACCCTGCCCCAGGCAGGTACTCACTGAACTCGGTGCCCGTCAGGTGGGCAAGGATGCGGAAGGAGCGGGACTGGCCTGTCCCAGGCCTCGGCCGCCAGTCCTCCGTGCTCTCCATCAGCCGCTGCTTGCTGGCGTCTGGGACCAGCGGTCGGAGCGGCTGTCTGTGGGGAGGGTGTGGCTCAGAACCTCAAGCTGAGGATGGGTGGTGGGGGCAGCCCCTCCCTAGATTTGGCCCTGGGGGCTGTGGTGATGGGAGAGTGGGGAGCAGCAAAGCCAGGGCTCTGCTGGGTGGGTGGGTGGGTGGGTGGATCAGTGAGAGGGAAGGAGAGCAGCCAGGGTAGGGCGGGGCTACAGCCCAGAATGCCAAAAGGAAGGAAGAGAAGAGCAGGCAGAGGGGGCTCACTGACTTGTCAGGGGTCTGCACCTGTGAAGGAAACAGACAGAGGGACAGATAAAGGGACAGAGGGACACACAGGAAGAGAGATTATGAGAGGTCAGAATAAACAGGAGTACGGCTGCACTGAGTTTCTGGATCTCAGCAGCCCAGTACTACACCCCCAACCCCTGATCTCCAACGGCAAGGTGCTGCCTGGCTCAGAGCCTCCAGGATAGACGCCACGCTCAGGAAAGGGGCCCTGTGCCTGCAGCCCCTGACCATGCCGCCAGGGGTCGCTGCCGCACGGTTTCGGCAGGACTAGCTAGGGGGCAGCACAGAAGGAGCAGCAGCGGGTAGCGGTAGGGGGGCGGTGGGTGGGCAGGGACTGACGTACCCATTCTGCTGCAGGGTGCTGTCAGCGGGCGGGGGTGCCCCAAAGGGCCGGGCCGTCTTGTTGAGGGAGGCGCTGGGTGCAAAGGTGTACCGCGGGGGGTCCGCGGCGGGGGCCAGGGCCTGGGCGGAGACAGAGCCAGGCAAGGCAGGCAGGGGCGGGGCCTGGGCCAGAGTGGGGTGCCCCCCCAATGTGGAGAGGACAGCGGTGTTCCAGCCCCTCCCCCCACATCTGGCCAGATTGGGGGGGGGCATCTCGGGTTTCAAAAGGCCCATTTGGGAATGATGATCTCAGCCCACGCAGCCCCAAGGCGGAGGGCGGAGTGAGGCTTTGCAGTACCATAAGGCAGGATGCAGGCAGACAGACAGGCTGACATGCATGGTTGTGGTGCCAGGACCGTGCGGCAGCCCTTGGCCCAATTCCCAATTGCCCAGGTGCTCCACAGCTCTGGCCTCTAACCTCTACCCTGCATCAGGGGTGGGGGTACCCAGGCAGCCCCGGAGAGGGCAGGTCACCCTGGTGTCCAATGTCACACCGCCCACCCACCATCCAGATGTTCCAAGGTGGTCACCTACCTTCTGCTGTTTGCTCTGAGCTGGCTGTGCCCTGGAGGAAACAGGGAAAGAGGGTAAGTCAGGCTCAAGGGTGTCTCCCGCTACTGGCAGACCAGCACCCACATACCTGCTAAGACCCAGGCTGAGGCGTTCCCCGCAGGCTCGTATCTTGTTCTGGGCTTCAATGTGTGTGAGCCCCCCAGCATTCTCACCATCGATGCTCAGCACCCAGTCTCCCACAGCCACTCCAGCCTGTGCTGCTTTGCCTCCAGGAGTGAGCTGGAGAGACACTGAGGGTCAGGGAGGCCCCAAGACTGTAGGCCAAACTAAGGGCAGTATTTGTCATTTCCACCAAAGTTGGCCAGGGATCAGAACCCAGGGCCTCTTAGACCAACATATTTCTGGGCAGCTGCCATCTGGAAGGGGCTAGGGCTCATGTGAGCTCCCTAATCATCATGCTTATTTCATTATTCACCTTCACGACCCTCCCCACAGTCCAGAAATTGCTGTGATGTCAACTGCCACCTTCAGGCTAAATCCAAAGCTTCTCAGCTCTAACCATAGTCCTCTGCTGCCCCTGCTGGCCTCCTGCCCAGGCTGTTCCACCTCCCAGTGGTGCACACCAGCTGGTGCACGTGGCAGGTTCTTCCTCCCTGACACCCTTGGGTGGTGCTCTCAATTACTTCTTACTCTGCCAGTACCAGTCCCAGGGCCACCTGCAGGGATCTACAAAGATCCTCTGAGGGCCAGGAGTAGGCCCATCACCTCCAATTCCCAGAGAACAGTGCCTGAGGAGCCTCAAGGTGTCAGCCAGGGCTTCACAGGCTATGAGGGGTGATACCCTCAAGACTTCAACAGCATTTCTCTCTCCCTCCAACTGTTTAGATTCCAAGTTGAGAATCTCTGGTTCTCTTGGCAAGTGAGCGGCACCAGCATGCTCGAGGGAATAGCCACTATCAGCAATACAAGCTGCGATCATCAGGGATGACTTCTGGGCAGTGGTGGCGGGCCTTGGTGCTAAGGGTGGGATGTGCTGGGGTGGGCATGCAGAGGATCTATTGTGAAGGTCTCCAATGCCATGTCAGGGGAAGGGACTAGGACTTGGCCTTAAGGGCAGATGGAGCAGTCTGAAGACTCAGGTGGGATACTTCCCAGGCCCTTAGGAGAGGTGACCCTGACAAACTGCGTGGGCTGTCTCAGTCCACAAGCCCAGCCACAGTAACATGGGCACCCAGGCCTCTGGCAAAGGGCTGGCATTGATTGGATCTCTGGGGTCATGGTGGAAGGCTGATTTATAGCCTTGGGGGCCTGAGGTGGGCCAACGCAGACTAAGTTTAGGTGGTGAGAGTGGATTAAGAAGTTCCAGAGAGGGCCCTCCCTGTTGGCGCAGTGGTTTGTTAAAGCACAGCACTCAGAAGCTAAAGCCACTTCCGCATGAGTTCGGTCCCCACCTGCCCCGGAGGTGACCCACATAGCACAGCAGACCTCTCCTGACCCGCTTGCTGCTCCCCTCAGCAGTGTATTTCAGCCCATCTGCCTGTTCTGCTCCCCACTCTCTCTGGTGAATCCTCTCACCGTCCTTGCACCTCTGGCCTGTCCCCCAGTTCTATATGCACAAATAAATAAATCAGCACTGGGCAGAAAGGGAAGACTGGGTTTCACATGTTTGTCCCATGCTTGAGATTTTAAAAGGGTAAGAAAGCTGAGTGGCTCCTTCTTTACCTGCACACAGCAGTGTCTGCTACTGAGTATCTAGCATTGTCATATACTGTCATTGAATTCTCAAGCATCTTAGATTATGCCCATTTTAACAGAGATTATGTATCTTGCCTCTAGTGACCAGTAAGAGACAGCCAGAGCGTGACCCTGACACTAGGCTCCATTATACTAGGCCCTCCTCTGCTGAGCATTGGTGCCAAACTCAGGTTGTCCATCTGGAACAACTCCCTAACCCTGTGGCTGGTTTGAGGCTTAGATGTCCTGTATTGCCTTTAGTTTAATCGACTCCTTACAATGGGCATGGGGAAGTAATGCCCTTGAGGGGAAGTGACATACTCAAGGTCATGGTGAGTCAGCAGGAAACCTGGCCTAGCCACTCCCTACCCAGAGGACAGGCTCTTGGGAGGTGTAGGCTGAGCCTGAGCTGGGGGCCTTGGAGTGGGCAGCTGGCTTCTGAAAAAGTGGCAGGGAGTTGGAACTACTTCCTTTCCCAAGTGAGGACAGGAAGCACAAGGAAAGAGGCGTGGTCAGAGGAGAGAGAAGCAGGAGAGAGGAGGGAGGGGTGGTTGGAGAGAAGCAGGGAGGGGGGGTACCAAGGAGGGGGAAAAGCCAGGGGGCTGGACACTGCCTCGGGTGGGGGGTGAGTCAGCCCCAGGGCTCTACTGAGCAGCCCAACCTCCAAGTCCCAGACATTACCTCATCTCCCAAGCCTGGGGCCCACAGCCAGTTCCAGCCCCTCCCTCCTCCCTCTATATTGGGGTCAGAGAGTGTAGGGGGCAGGCCTGGCTCAGAAAAGACTACCCCCAGCTCCAAGGCTGGGCTCAGCTGGTGGCCCCACCCACTTACTAGGGTGGCTGACAGGGCAGCCCGGGGCCAGGGTGCCCCCAACAGGTCACATCTGAAAGCCCATTACCCACACGACTCTGTTACCCATGCCGGCCTAAGAACTGGAGACTCAGACACCAGCCAGGCCTAGGCCGCCAGCCATGCTGATCAGGCAGTTTTCCAGAGATGGGGATACAGGATAGGTTTTCAGGACTGGCAATGCTTCAGTGTTGCAGAGGGTGTGTGTGTATGTGTGTGTGTGTGTGTGTGTGTGTGGTGGTGGTGGTGGTGGTGGTAGGGGAACCACTGCCCTTAGCAATCCTGCTGGCAGGGCAGTTTCCAGGGGAAACTCATGGGAACCAGGTCTCTGGGAAGAAGAGTGACCTCCAGCCCACCCTGGCCACCAAGTCCAACTCCCACAGAAAGACTCAGTCTTGGGGCCCCTCTCAGGCGAGGAAGTAGCTGGCCAACCTTCTGCCCCCTTCAGACTATGCTTGCCCTGGGCTTCCTGCCACCAGCTGCTTGCCCATGGGGTGCCTGGGTGGGCCTCTGTGGTCAGGCGGGATATGGAACAGGAAGTCCCCGCCTTCTTCTGACCCTCAGGCCAGAGACAGCCCTGACTCTGGGCAGGCACTGTGTTCTGTGTCCCATAAATGACCCTATAGCTGGAGCCATCGTCTGGTGGTGACGAGCTGAGGAGCCCACCAATGGGGTCCAGGGGTTCAGGTCTAGGCCAGCCTTCCTCTAAGGCTCGGCAGACTCCAGCTACCAGCTGGCCATCCCAGCATGGGGCTGCATTCTTGGGCTTATAAGGCAATCCCCTTGCCACAGGGAGGAGCCAGTCCTCAGCTCTGCCCCCACCAGGGCATGCTCAGCAGCAGAAATCTGAATCCTAGACCCCTGTCCTAGACCTCTACTTGAGGTCAAAGGCCAATGCATACTGAATTGGAACCAGTAGATGGAGATGGAGGTTCTCACAGACCTGAATTCATTCCTGCTTTGCAAATAATCACTGAAGGAGTGTGTCCTGAGACCCCATATGGAAAAACAGGATAACAATTACTGTTCTCTGGGTGGTGATGAAGCTGAAGTAAGGTCTGTAGTCAGAGAATCCTAAGACTGGGCTCTAAATACTGCTCCTTCAAAAAGCATAGGCACTCCCTAGAGATCTCAGGTTTCCAGCCCGTAGAATGAGCATCCCCAGGCCTTATACATGGCCCCATGAGGTATGGCACTGTGCTGGGGATGTGCAGGGGCTCTCCCAGCAACCTAGTTGTAAATCCTACGACAGGTGCCCTCGACATCTCTGGACAAGGACACCTCCTAGTCTGTTGGTTAAGTTACTCTTCTCAAACTCCTCCCATCACCTACAGGACCTCTGAGCACCTAAAAACTCTTGAGGGAGCCCCTGCCCCACCCTAGGCTCACCCGGGAGATGGAGAGGGGAACATTGAAGTCCTTGCCTCCCTGCAGCCGGAAGCCCCAGGGTGCTGGCCCCTCCAGCACCACCTTGAAAGAATCCATGGTTCCTGCTCCTGAGAGGAAAGAAAAAGTGAGTGGTCCTATAGTGGGTGTGTGGGGCCCAGGACTGCTGCCAGCCCTGCAGGGGGAAGACTCCAAGCACACTCAAGGCAGGGGCCAGTGAGAATCTTGTCAGGTCTGGGAGGCTTGCTGGCAGAAAACTCTCACTTTGGAAAGAAAGGTGCAAGTGTCCTCCCCTGGGAAACTGGGAAAGTGAGGGGAAACAGCATCCAGACATGGAGTTTGCTTCCTGGAAGAGCGGGCCGCAGGGCTAATTTGGCAAGGCCTTCCCCAGAGCAACCACTGAGAGTTGGATGGCCGGTGAGTCAGGGGCCGGCCTCCTGTCTCCCGCCCCCAGGTCCTGCAGGCAGGCCCCGGCTCGAGTCTGCTCGGACTATATAAGGCGTGTAAACTGACACTGTGAGGAGAGCCAGTGGAGGGAGCACTCGGGGGCTCGGACGCCAGGGGGAGGGGTGGGGAGGGCGACTGGAGGGAATCCTAGCCATTTCGGGATCGGTCAAGGCTGCTGGAAGCCTGGGCGGTACCCCTGGGCGGTGGGGTTGGGGAAAGGCTGGAGAGGAGGGGCGGCCCCTAAGGAGATCGGTGGGGACTAGCACGCCAAAGCGTGGACAGGATGGGGATCCATCCTGGAGCCCAATGGGGGCGGTGCCTCCCACACAGAGTTGCTATCGTCCCTACGTGACTCAGTTTCCCCCTTGACCCCCTCAGCCTGGGCCCCATGCACTGACCGAATCCCGAGCGCAGGAAGCAGCGCAGGCGCCAATCCGCCGCGCCGCAGCGGGCTTAGCCGCAGGAAGGCGGGGGCGGGGGCAAGGGCAGAGGCCCGGGCCTGCGAGAGGAAGCGCCGCGCTGGCCACGACCCCCAAGGACCCCCGTGGCCCCCAGCGGACCGCTACCCTCCAGCCCGGCCCTGCCCGAGATGCCCTGCGCGGTCGCCTGTACCTGCTCGGCCCCGGGGGGCGCTGCCCGGCTGCGGTATCTCAGGAGCCGCGTTGGGATCCGCGGCCCTCGCTCTGGCCCCGCCTCCGCGCCCGCCGCCTGCTTTGAGCCGGCAGGCGGGGGCGGAGCACTAGACCACGCCCTTATGAGGCCACGCCCACCACCCTCGTCGCCGCCGGGAGCCCCGCCCGATCCCTCCTCTCGGCCCAATCGTGGAGTCCCGTCTCGCCTGGCGCCGCGGGGCTGGGTCCCTGGCGGGGCGGGGCCGGGGCGGGGCCGGGGCGGGGCCGGGGCGGGGCCGGGGCGGGGCCGGAGCTGCCGCACGCCGAGTCCGGGAGCCCAGCCCGCGCGACCCTACCCGGCGGCCCACCCAGTCCCCTGCGCCTCCCGCTGGCTGAGTGAAAGGAAAGCGGCCTTCTAAATCTGATCAACCTGGAGTATGGCTTCCTATTCTGAACATGGTACAATCATCCTCGCCTCACAGATCCACCGTGAGGACAGGCGTCGTTGGGTGTAAGGTCCAGTCATCTGAGGTTCCAGAATTTCTAAATCGGAGGCATTGAGTGGAAGGGGACAAGCTGAGGTAGGGATACTTGAGGGGGACAAGGGAACTTGAAACTAGACACTCGGTTGCAGGCAGAAAATAATAGCAAGAGTGGACATGGGTGGAGGGGCCTTGGTTGAGCCCATCCTGACCTGTAGGCTGTGCCTTCACACCCACCTCACAGCTCTGCACAGCTAGGGGCCAGCCCACACCTCTGAGAGGACTGTGCCCTGATGTCTGACTCCAGAGTAGGCAGCGCCTCTAGTGGAGGCTTCGTAGTCTCCACTTTGCCCCCAGTGACTGGAAGGGCTTGAGGGGTGAGGGTTAAAGGAGCATGGAGCCGGGACAGAGTACTCAGTTCCTAAGACATCGTCACTGCTTTCTCCGCCCTCTACTGTTATCTTTTTTCCTTTTTAATTTATGCGTACAAGAACTGGAGTACGGGCCCAGTTCCCAAACGCCCGTACCCAAACGTGTGCAGTTGGCCCTGAGCTGTGGTGGCAGAGCTGTGAGGTGGGCGGGGGGTGTGGGGTGTGTGTGAGAGGACTCACCAGACAGAGTGGGGAGCAGAACTGGAGGATCTACTGAAATACACTGCTGAGGGGGCAGTGGGTGGGTCAGGAGAGGTCTGCCATTGCCACGCCACATGGGTCACCTCCCTGGCCGGGATCAAACTCCTGCTGCAGTGGCTGAGAGTGCTGAGACTTTAATGCCTGCGCCACCAGGGAGGGCCCCCTCTACAGTCATCTTATTCTTCTCCCCTCCCTGCACAAACTGCCGTGAGAGTCTTATCTTTAAGGGAATCAGTCCCCTCTTGACACCACATCCTCTCCTACCACCCTCTTTTTATTGTACTCCCCTTTGAGTCAGATTACTTTAAGTGGTTACCTGTTTTTCTGTTTCACCTGTTTTCTCCTGAAGCCACTCCAGTCTGACTCTTGTCCTCCCCAATCCTCTGAATTAATTCCCTCTTCTCAAGGTATCCTGTCAACTTCAGTTTCTCCCATCAGTGGTGGTTTCTCCACTTTCTTCTCAGCAAACCTAGAAGTAGCTCTGGCTTCACGCTTCCCTCTTGCCCTACTGACTGCACCTTTTCCATTGCTTTTGTTGACTCCTCACCTCCCTCCCAACATGGCCACCAGATATTTCCCTGCCATATTCACTCTCTAGTACCCTTCTATTTGGAACTGTATTAAATAGCTTACATCATCATGTCCCAGATTAAACAACTATGAATTTATTTTTCCTTTCTTTTCTCTCTCATATCCCATACCCGCCCAGCCCCTTGCACCTCAGAATATGTTCTGCATTGGGTCACAGCTGCCACCATCGTCCCTGCCATTCATTCTCATGCCTGGACATCTCAACTGTCTTCTAACAGATGTGTCCCTGCTTCCACCCTTGCCCACTCCAGAGTCTTCTCCATGCAGCAGCCAAAGTAATATTTTATAATTTTAAAGACTTATTTATTTATGTGTCCAAGAACTGGGGTACAGGCCAGAGGTGTGGGGGGTGAGAGGATTCACCAGAGACATTGGGGAGCAGAACAGGCAGATCTACTGAAACACACTGCTGAGGGGAGCAGTGGGTGAGACAGGAGGGGTCTGCTGTACCATGTGGGTCACATCCCTGGCCAGCCGAGGATTGAACTCGTGCTGCAGTGGCTAGCAGTAGCTTGATAGTGCTGTGTCTTCCTGTGCCACAAGGGAGGCTCCAAAAGTGGTATTTTAAAGCAGAAATCATGCCATATTTCCCTCAGTTTTTAGCATCCTAGGGGGCTCACTTTATACCAAAAATAAAACTAGTCTTTACGACATACATGACACCAATAAACTGGCTCCACTCCTACCAGGTTTGTCCTTGCTCATTGCACTCCAGCCATACTTGCCTCCACACAGTTCCTCCAACATGCCAAGCATATTCTTGCCCCAAGGCCCTTTGTGTTTGTTATTCCTTCTGCTTGAAACCTTTACACTAGACAGACTCGCTTTGTTCACGTCTCTGCTCGATGCTACCTCCTCCAAGAGGCCTGCCCTGGTCAGCTCATCTAGAATGGTTGCCCTCCTGCCACCTCATGGGCATCATAAACTCAGGATAAACCCTTACCTGGTTTTATTCCTCCCGATCCTCGCCCCCCTCCAACCCCCGCCCAGCACTTATAGTGAGTGCTTGTTTCTTCATGGTCCTATGTCCCCAATGAATGTCAGTCCTCTGAGAACAGGGGCTTATCTTGTCCACCATCATTTCCTCAGTGTTTTTGCATGGCATGTGTGAATGAGTAAGATGAAGTAAGGTTTGAGAGTGGAAAACAGCAAATGAGCAAAGAAGGAGTGACAACCTAGAGGTCTTGACATTCCTCCAGCAGAAAACCTCAGGGTCCCATTCCTTGGTTGGAGCCTGGGAGGCACTGAACAGGCAGCCTCTGCATAGGAGCAGCCTGGGCTAGGGCACAGTGCCCCCTGGTGTCAAGAACCTCTGCAGCTCCAAGCAAGGTCTCCCATAGTCTGGTTGGAACCAAACAGAATTGCCATTAAACAAAGAAACTTAGACTTTTGATTAAAAAAAAAAAAAAAGCATGCCAGGGCCCTCCCTAGTGGCACAACAGGTTAAAGCGCAGTACTATGAAGCTGTCTGAAGCCACTGTAGCACGAATTCAATCCCCAGCCAGGGAGGTGACCCACATGGCTCACCTCAGAGTATATTTCAGTCCATTTGCCTGTTCTGCTCCCTACTCTGTCTCTGTCTCTGGTGAATCCTCTCATCTCCCCATCCCTCTGGCCTGTACCCCAGTTCTTTATGCATAAATAAGTAAATCTTTAAGAAAAATAATACCTTTGGGAGCCATCAGCTCTTAGATGGTGAGACCTGGAGACTGACCGGTGCACGTGGACACATACTACCATTCAGGGAATCAATAAAATGCCTGGCTAGACTGGTGAAATCTGAGCTCCCAGGTGTGGGTCTGGATATTGGCGTCCTTAAAAGCTCCCAGGTGGAGCTCTCCCTGGCGGCGCAGCGGGTTCAAGCACAGTACTAAGGAACTAAAGCCACTTCAGCATGAGTTCGATCCCTTCCTGTCCCGGAGGTGACCACATGGCACAGCAGACCTCTCCTGACCTGCTTGCTGCTCCCCTCAGCAGTGTACCTCATTGAGTGCCTGTTCTGCTCCCCACTCTGTCTCTGGTGAATTCTCTCACCCCCCACCCCCGCACCTCTGGCCTGTACCACAGTTCTGTATGCACAAATAAATAAATCTTAAAAAAAAAAAAACTCCCAGGTGATTCCACTTGTGACACCAAGCTTGCACTGTACTGGGTCTGCCCTGGGCAGCACTCTGGCAAAGGTGGCAACAGCAGAGGCTGGGAAGGAGAGAACAAGAGGAAGGAAGAAAACCAAGAGAAGATGGCATTTCAAGGAGGGATGTCCAGTGCCTCTGAAAAGTTGGGGAGTCCAAGTCACAAAGGGAGTCAAGATTGCTTTTGTTTGGGGCAACACAACCTGATAAGAGCAGTGTATGCAAGATTGGGGACCACCAGGAGTCTGGAGAATGGGAGTTGAGAAAGTGGAAATGAGAGTAATCAACAAGTCCTTTGAGGAGTTTCACTGTGAAGAGGAACAGAGAAATTGGGGAGGAGGTTGACTGAAGTAGAATTTGAGGTCAAGGGAAGGTTTCTTTTCTTTTTTTAAAGATTTACTTATTTATGCACACAAGAACTGGGGTACAGGCCAGAGGTGCAGGGGGTGAGAAGATTCACCCCATCAGAGATGGAGTGGGGAACAAACAGGTAGATCAACTGAAACACACTGCTGAGGGGAGCAGCAGATGAGACAGGAGAGGTCTGCTGTGCCATGTGGGTCACCTCCCTGGCTGGGGATTGAATTTGTGCTTCAGTGGCTGCGGACAGCTTCATAATGCTGAGCCTCAACTCCTTGCACCACCAGGGAGGCCCAAGGGAAGTTTTCTTTTTAACAGGTTATATTATAAAACAAGTGTGTATGTGGCTGGACATGGTGATGATAACATAATGATGGACTTAATGGGTGGAAGAGAGAGGGAACAGCTCATTTTCCCAGGCTGTGAGTGGAGCTCATTTTGGGGAATGGACATTGTCCTTCATCGGGAGGGAAGGAGACTGAAGATTCTGGTGCACCTGCACACGAGGGGGAGGAGGTTGAGGGTGTTTGTGGGTGTTGGCCACTGTTTCTCCTGAATACCTGGGAGGTGGGTAAGGGCAGGGATAGAGAGAAGCAGCTGTGACAGTCTTGGGGAGATTAGCAACCACTCTGGCACACAGAGCTGCTTGGAGAGCCTCCTTTTTGAGGTCTGAGAATACAGTCCAACTTGATTAGGGGAATTTCTCCAGTCATGGGCGGTAGCCCAGGCGCAGGGGAGATTTGGGTTTACTCCAGAATGGGGGTGTTTGCAGGGTCAATAAGAGGGAAAAGAGGGGGTAGACTAACTCTGATGGTGGAACAAAGAATCAGTCAGGCAAGGATGGAATCCAGGATGATACCTGAATAGGCTGTGGGAAGAGAGTCACTGTAGGTGACTGTAGATGGAGAATGTGGGCTGGAAGGAGAGGAGGTGACCAGAGAGGGATGCTTGGGTATAAGATTCCAAATATGGACCATTCCTGTCATGAATACAGCTTTAGGGCATAACAAGGGTATAGGTGGCTGAGGCAGGGTCACATGAGGACATCAGGCTCTTGAGGGGAGTAAGCGCCCCAGGAATGGGAACAGGAGAGCCTGGAGTTACTTAGGCACTGAAGTCTCTAGAGACTGTGGCTGTCTAGAACCTGGCTGCATCCCTGAGCCTGGTACCTGGTAGACACAAGGCAAAATACTAGTGAACACAGGCGTGGCATGAATCTGTTTACCAACCCCCCCCCCCTTCTTTTACTAAGAACTGAGATGCAGGCCAGAGGCATGGGGGGAGCGGGGGGGGGTGTGTGTGTGAGAGGATTCACCAGAAACAGAGTGGGGAGCAGAACAGGCTGATCAACTGAAACATACTGCTGAGGGGAGTAGTAGCCAGAAAGGAGAGGTCTGCTGCACCATGTGGGTCAGCTCCCTGGCAACTCCAGCCATAGGCATGACAGCACTGAAACTTAACCCTAAATCACCATGGAGGCTCTGATCTTTATCCTTGACAATTGAGGAGACTGAGCCCTGAGGTTCCCCAGAAGCACATGTGCATTTTTGAGTCTCAGCAGAAGAAAGTGCTTTAGGGTGTGCACATCTTTTAAGTCCCTCCCACTAGCCCTCCCTTTACCTCCTCTCTTGCTCAGACTTCCTGGTTTCCATATTAATGACAGTATAATTGTATTTTTATGGAATTTGTGATATCTATGTGACTCATGTGTGCTTTTTTATTCCAAACAAATGTCCACTCAGAACTAATTTTGTGTTAAATCCCTTAAGGAGGAAGCCCCAACTTGCACAAGCTTTAAGCCCCACAAAACTTAAATCTTTCGGAGATGGGGACACAGGAGTGAAACAAACAGAAAATTAAAACTATCTCTTCACTGTAATGGAAGACAAACATAAAGGCCTGTTATGTAGGACATCAGAACCTTCTAGACCCTCCTTGATCAGGAACTCCTTGCTCTTCTCTACACAGGATCCCTAACACCTAGAGTCAGTTTCTGAAACAGTTTCCTCAAATCCAGCCTCCACACATTTCAGAGTTTGAGCCTGTCCCTCTGCTGAGGATAAGGCCCAGCTCAGGAGGGTCAGGGCCTAGCACCATCCCTGGCCAAACTCAGTCTCTGAGTCCAGCAGGTTCACCCTCAGCCTCACCTGGTAAAGCCCTGCCTTTCCCTCTGCGCCCCACTCAGGCCTTGTCTCCCTCTTTGCCTGACTGAGTTATTTTCTGCTGCACAGGATCACACGGGCCATAATCATCTGCTTCCTGCCCATCTGCTTAAGTGCCCATGAGCCCACTGCGGCAGAGATCAGGTCCAGGTCAGGTCTGTCCCTGGAACCCAGCCGGGGGCACAGGTATTGGCTGCAGCACACATAAGGGAGGTTCTGTGGGCCCAGTGAGGCTGAGCCCCACTGCCTGGACCTGAAGCCAAGAGGTTTGGACTGTGGGCCATGAGGCAGGACACAGAGGGAGCCAGATTTTATTATCAGCACATCTACTCTATACATGGTGGGGGGAAGGAGCTTAGCAGGGTTGCCTGCCACATGCCCGAAGGCCCCAGTGGAAGTGGGGTTTGTCACCAGATGTCCATCCTTTGCCCACCCTCCTATCCCAGGGACAGCACCTTTATCTCCCTCTGCCAGGCCACCAAGGTGGTCAGGGCCGGTCACAGGGCACTGGACCTTTCTTCTTCTCTCGGCTCAGCAGTGTCACCAGCTTGGCCTTGAAGCCCATCTGCAACCCAGGGCGACTGGAACCCCCACTCTCCTCACTGTTGTCGGCCAGCTCCAGCTCCAGCAGCCGCCGGTATTGGGCCTCTAGGGTGCTGTCGTTAGCTGGGTTGGGCCAGCTCAGGTCCTCACTATTGTGGTAGATGGGGCTGGCCAGGGGACTTCGGCTGCTGGAGCCTTCCTGAGCGGGCACCCCACTGTTGGGTGGCACAGGGCCAGCCTCCAGCCTCCATAGGTTCTCATAGAAGTGCTCAGGGCCTGGAGGTCCACTAGCCTGCTTGCACACAGAGGCATAGAGCCCAGCTGCTGGTTCTTCGAGGGGCTCTGTGCTCAGAATCAAGGGCAGGCTCTGTGGGCCTGGGTCAGCCAGGCGCACTCTCCAGGAGCTGGGTGGTTCATGTCCAGGTGGCAGCTCCTGAAGCTCTCCTGGGGGGTCCAGTGAGGGAAGGGAGATAGCCCGAGGCAGCGGGCAAGGCTGGGCTCCTGCCAGACCTGGTAGCTGATCCCGTTGGCGGGCAATGGCAATGGCCACGGCTGCATACAAGTCACGGGCATGGGGGCTGCTGAAGGCGAAGAGGCCCTCACCTGAGTCGCAACGGCGGCCAGCTTCAAAGGAGAACACACCCTGGGCACAGGTGACATGGCAGATCAGAGGTTGGGAGACCATAGTGCCGGCCACCCACTACCTGTCCCTGCAGGGTTGGCACCCATAGCAACTCACTGTGTCTGAGCCGAACTTGCGAAGGAAGCGGTAGGGCCAGGTATAGAGAGCCTGGGGGCTGGAGGACTCTCTCAGCTGGATGGCGTCCTGGCCCAGCACCAGGACGAAGGGCCCTTTCAGCTGGCAGCGGGCGGCAGCCTCGGTTCTCTGCACCACCACTGGAAACTCACCCCCTGCTGGCAAGGGGACCTTGAGGGCAGGGACCCACCAGCAGGTACAGGCCCCAGTGGTTCCCCAGAGATCCCAGCACGAGGGGTGGTGGGGCTGCCCAACTCACCTTCCTGCCAGGAGGAGTAGATGGAGTTCTCCTCCATGGGCACCAGGTCCCTCTTGGGAGCCTCTGCCTCCCCTGATCCTGAAGAGCACTCCCCTGTGCCCTGAGGAATGAGTAAAGGTAGAGGTTCTCGGTCAGCCTATTTTGCTTCTTCGTTCTTTCCCGGGGATCAGTAACCCAGGACTCCAGGACAGCAAGGGCACCCAGGGAGTGGATGCCAGTCCCAGCTCAGCGCCTGACACCTGGGGCTTCCCGGGTATAGTCTGAGCCTATTTTCTCACTAGCTCCCCACTGAAGGTTCAGGGGGCACCCAGAGGATGTCCCCCAGAAGCCTGAGTGTGGCCAGGGCTGGGCCTGCTGTGTGAGTGTCCCTGCCAGTCTAGGCAGGTGCTTTACTGGAAAGCCACTGCTGGCATCTCCCATCTCTCTCAGGCCTTTTTCTCCACCTGGTCCCTCCACTCCCCTCATCCCCTCATGACCTTTGGGATCTGTATGACCCTCAGCACCTCCATCATGATCTCCTTGGCATGCAGCATCATGGCCAAGGTCAAATGCTATGGTTTCCTCACTAGTGCCCTTGTTCCCGGTCATTTCAATTTTTTTTTAATGAAAAAATTTTTGTTCGATGCATAACATTACAATGGTTATTTTAACCACTTTAAAGTATATATTTGGGTGTTTTTTAAAAAAATCATATAATAGCTTATTTTTACATCATTTTATGCATTTTTTTTTCATCTCAGTTGTAATCCCCGTGGGCTTCCCATATATTTGGGTGGCTTTTACAAGAGTCACAAGGTTGTGTAACCATCACCTTTGTCTAGTCCCAGAACTTTCCATGACGTCCAATGGAAAACTGGTACCCGAGAGCTGTCACTTCCCATGTCTTTCCCCTTTGCCCCTGATAACTACTAGGTTGCTTCCTGTTTCTTTGGATTTGCTCTTCTGGGCATTTCATGTAAAGGGAGTCAAACTAGGTGGCCTTTGTGTCTGGCTTCTTTCACTTTGCATCATGTTTGCAAAGCTTATCTTTAGAAGGGTGAAACATGTGCTGGTGTTTAATTTATTTTTATGGCCAAATAACTTCTCTTTGCTCGTCAACTGATGGCCTCATGCTTGTTTATACCTTTGGGCTATTGTGACTGGTGCTGCTATCAAGATTCTTGTACAGGTCTTGTTTGAACTATTTCAACAAGAGTTTGAACTTTGGTATATACCAGGGAGTGCAGTTGCTGGGTCATATGGTAACTCTATGTCTAACTTTTTGAGGAACCTCCAGACTCATTTTGTTTTGGTTCATCACAGACCCTGTGAAGTTTTAAAACTCTGTCCCTGGTTCAACACACCTCCATCTCACTCACACCAAAGGCTCCTCTTCTTCACAATCAAACCTGAAGCTCCCTCCAGACTCTGACACTTTGCCTCCTTTTGGGTCTTTTCTCATCCTGTAGCTATGCTGGCCTGCTTCAGGGCCTTTGCACACACCTCCTCTGTTCAGGACAGCCTCAGACCTTGGTGTGTGGTACACTATCCTCAGGTCTTTGCCTGGTGGCTCTTGTTTGTCCTTGAGGATGTAGGCCCACTGTTCCCTCCAAGAGGCCTCCCTGAACCATCTTTTCTAATGTGCTTCATCCCCCCCTTACCTCTGAGCCAACTCCAGTGTTTTATTTTCTTTATAGTACATATGACCATCCAAGGTTTATTCTGTGGATTTCTGGGTGGTTTCCCAGGCTCCTATGTACTTGTCATGCACTCTCTGAGTGACAGGATGTGAGGGGATATAGTATTTGTGAGGGACAAGGAGGGTGTCCATGGGGCTGGCCCCTGTCTGCCCTGCCCTCCCTCCCTGCGCTCACCGGGAAGGCCAGCTGGCAGATGGAGTTCATCCACTCCTGGCGGTGCTGTGAGGCCATCAGGTGGCTTCGCTCAGTGGTGGTAAGCAGGAAGGCACTGGTGTCCCGGGGGCAGCTCTCACCATCAGCTCGCAGCACAGACACGCAGTCAGCCAGGCGGATGATCCGCCGCTCCCCCCGCCGGCCAGGCCCCACAGACCTGTCACCTGCTGGCCCCAGGCCACCATCCCGGACCTCCCAGCTTTCCAGCCGGGCCACACCTGATGGGCTTCCTGCGTACAGCAGCGCCCACACCTTCCGCCAGGACTTCTGTGGGAGATAGTGAGGAAGAAGTTAATCTCCACAGATTAACCCCACACAGGTGGTTTGGCAAAGACTCCTATCTTCTCAGGCTTCCTCTGCTTCCCCAGCAATGAGGGCTCCGGGGATGGAGGCCTTAGTCTAGCTGGTTGGGCTGGCCCATAGGGGAAGGAGCTTGCAGGGGGCCAGTCAGCCCTGGATTCAACTCTATCTTACACTTTCCTGTGATGTCCACAGCACAAAAGGTCATGAGAACACAAGCTCTCTGCTATATTATGTCTGTAAACGATTTGTTGGCCACAGCAGACCACTTAACTCTGCTGTTATGTTGGTGCCCCTCACCAGCCCCCAAAAGAAGTCTCTTGGGCTGTGGACCAGGGGCTGGGGCATGAGGGAGGCCTCAAGCTCTTGATGGCAAGAAAGGAAACATGCAAATAGCACCATGAAAAGGAAACAGACGGTTTATCTGCCTGGCCAGCAGCTGTTACTGTGTTGAGGGGGTGCAGGGCCTGTGGCTGAGGAGTAAACCTCCCCCTCTGTCCTGTGACACCGCTGGGAGGAGCTGAGCCCTCAGTTCTGTAGGGTGGGGCCCCACCTCTGGGGCTCCTCCAACTGAGCACCTCGCCCTTTCAGGGGGCCTTGGTGCCATGACCTGATGGGGCAGGAGATTGATGGGTTGATTAGCCCCCGACTTAGCCCTGCCCTAGTTTGGGTTCCCAGACCCTCCCAACTTGTGACGGCCCATTTTTACACATGGTAGGGGCTCACAGAGGCCTGCAAAGGCTTTGTTCCACACCCCCGCACCTGGGCTAGCTCCCCCAACCCGACTCCCTTCCCCAGCCCCCTCAGTCAGGTGGCCTGATGAGGCTGGGGTAGGGCCCACTGTCCTGGTCAGCTGTCTTGCAGTCGGGGTCCCCACCTTGCCAAACTTGACATGCTGCTGGTAGAGGATTCCGTCCTTGACCGGTGTCTCCAGAGGCTCCATACTCAAGGCCAGTCCTCAGGGCTGCCACTCCGAGGTCCTGAAGAGACTGGTGACAGGCTGGAGGGGAACTCCTCACACTTCCCCTTCTGGCCACTTCCCCCTCCCTCTGTCCAGAGTGGCAGCTGCTGGGCTGGGGGGAGGGGAGCCTCCTCTGATAAAAGAGCTAGCAGAGAGTGGGGATTAGGGGTGGATCTTGCAGGTTTCTTCTTGGGATTCTGGCTGGTCCAAGGTATGCATGTGTGCCTGGCAAGGGCCACCAGAAGGCAAATTGACCCTCACCTGCTTCCAGGTCAGCTGGGACTGAATATCAGACTGCAGACTGTCTCCCTGTCTTGATTCCATCCCTCCTCTGTCCTGTGCCAGGGGCTCTGGCATTCCCACAATATTATCCCCACTCCAGAGTCCCCTCCTCAGGCTAATTGGCAAACTCCTGGCTTTCTAATTCTTGGTCATTGTGTCTCACTGAGTCCTGCTCTACTTTCCTGTGCCTTGGGAGTATTTCCCACATTCACTCCTTTCCATACTAAAACTCTATCCCTTGCCAACTGGGGTATCTCCCCTTTAATTACTCCAACCACCCACCGCAGTCCTCTCTGCCGACCACAAACCAAGCCCTGAATTGACCTCTCTCTCCTTCCTAAACACTCTCCAGCTCCCCTGTGCTAGCCTGGGTTTGTTGACTTAGATCCGAGGTGCTCTGACCTCTCCCCTGCCACCCTCCAGCCTGCTCCAGTCCCTTTTGGGCAGTCACCACTGTTCTTTGTGGCACTGGGCTGCCTCTTTCTCCAGGAGGGCTGACCTGACCACTCCATGAAGTCAAGAGAGCACAAAGGCCCCAGCAGTGTGTCCCTGTTCTCATGGCGAGGCCCAGCCCTGGCCAGGTGAGTGTGGGTGGCACACCCCATCGGGTCCCTGGGGAGCTCACATGCTCCTTTTAAGCTTTGCTTCTTGCCAGTGATATTTTTGCCTTGCCATGCTAAAGGCAAGTTTTACAACAATGAGGAAATTGAGGCTCCAAAATGTTAAGTAACTGGCTCAAGGCCAAACACCAAGTGACATGATCATACCTTGTGCAACTGCATCCTCCTGGGATAAGCACTGGCCTCACACAGAACACCAGGCCCCTGAGGAAATGGGTGGCATAGCTACCGCCACAGCCCTTCCTCCGCCTGTCTCTTGTCAGGTGCTGGGATACTGGTCAGTCTGTCAGCAGCCTTGTGACTGCTGCCCACATTCGCCCACGCCCGGCCTCTCCTGCTCAATAGTGGGCTTCCTAGCTGCCTGGAGCTCAGGTTTTACAGAGAGCTGGGCACAGGTTGCGGTCAGAGGGTGCTTATGCCTGGGAAGCCATCTTGATACCCGTTGCCCTCAGTCAATGGAACAGAGGGATTCCGTACCAGGTGCCCACACAGGCAGTCAAGTAAGCAAGGGAGTCTGAGGCTGGAAGCTACCTCCCAAGAGGCCCCAGAAGTTTCATACAACTGACAGGAAGAGTGAGCTTGGGCAGGTTTGGAGATAATGAAAGCCAACCAGAGACCAAAAAACCTGATAATTTCCCCTCCCTGTCCACCACTGTAGCAACTTCCAATGCCCAAACCAGGTAGGCCAGGGGACCAAGATCATGGTTCTCCCACTCCCGACTCCTGGCAGCTCCTGCCATAACCAAGTACTAGCAAGCTGGGTATTGACAGTGGTGGTGGAAGCTGCCGCCTTGTAGGGGTCTGGAGGTCAGTGTGAGGTCTGCCCAGGAAACTGGGAGCAGGCAACGTGAGACAAAGAGTCCAGGCTGAGACCAGAGAAGTTTGTGCTTTAATGGCAGCTGGGATAAAGGGGCGCAAAAATAGTAATTCTGGGGGCCACAGGGAGCATGTAGCCAGGCCCGGCCTGGTCCAGCCCAGGCCAGCTGGGCTAAGGATGCTGGCTTCTTGTCCAGGGGGCTGGTGTGTATGGTAGGCGGCAGGGGTCCCAGGGACCGAGGCCTCTTGGAGAGAAGGGATGTCAGATGGCTCAGAAGTCCATGGAGCTGTGGGCCAGGTAGTCCTTGCGGCCGATGTTGCTGACCTGTTTGGTCTGCATAGCCTCAAGTTTGGGGCAGTCGGTGATCCGATGGCCCAGGCCCCCACAGAAGGCACAGCCACGCTCTCCTAAAAGGATATGGGGGAGGTCAGTGTGCTCAGGGACCAGGCTCCACAAACAAGACCCTGCCCCTCTAAACCTCCAGAACTGTGACGTGTAGCTTGGAATTGCTTCAAGGGGTTTCCACATGCACCCCCAGCCCCATGCAACTAGCACCCCCAACTCGGCAGTCACCTCCAATGTCCAGCATGGACTCGTCCCCACAGTGCAGCACTTGTAGCACAGGAGGCACCTTCTGCTTGGCCTCCAGGAGCAGGGCTTTGAGATCCATCAGCACAGACTCATCTGTGGGTATGGGGGTGGTGAGGACCTGTCAGCCCCAGCCCTAGACCCCAGGGCCTGGGTAGCCACAGAGAACCCAAGGGACAGCTGGGTGGCCCTGGTGGCTCACTCACCACAGGCCTTATTGATGAAGGTAGTGGCAATGCCCGTATTTCCAGAACGCCCAGTGCGGCCAATCCGGTGCACTGCAGAAGAACAATGGCTCTGGTTCACTGCTCAGGGGCTGGGCCTGGTGCCCACCCCTGGCGCCCCCAATTCCCCACCATAATTCTCTATCTCTTCAGGCATGTCATAGTTGATAACATGCTGGATGGCAGGGAAGTCCAAGCCCTTGGAGGCTACATCTGTGGCCACTAGGACATCCTTCTTGCCTTCTCGGAAGGCCTCAATGGCCTTAGTCCGTTCCTCCTGGTCTGGGAGGGTAAAACAGGAGCTGTTAGAGTGAAAGCAGGAGGCTAGGATGTGGGGGCAGGCAGGCCAACCAGGGAAGGGGGCTGCTAGCAGGGAGCACTGTCCATGGCAATGCATGCACCACCCTGACCTTTGCCCCCATGGATGGCCACGGCCTCAACCCCCTTCAGGAGCAGGTACTCGTGAATGGCATCCACATCAGCCTTCTTCTCAGCAAAGATGAGCACCTGTCCAAGAAGGCCAACTCTAGTCATGGGGGTGGATGGGGAGCCCCACCCCACCAGTCTCTCCCTCTTATCCCAGGGGTCCTGGGCCACTCTTGCTGGTTACACTCACAGGTGGGGGGGTCTTCTGCAGGCACTCGAGCAGGTACACCATCTTGGCCTCTTCCTTGACATATTCCACCTCCTGCCATCACAAGGGCAAGGCCAGGTGGTTCTGCGGTCAGGGTCCCCAGCCACAGTCTTGCCACAGATACCAGGCCCCCAACCCCCACTGGGAGGTGAGCAGAAGCCTCTTGCCACCAAGGGCTGGGCACCCAAAGAATGTTTCCTTCCAAGGGTAGAGGCTTTGAATGAAACCCTCAGTGCCCACAAGGTGGGCCACATCCTGTTCTCATCAAACTGGGGGCCTTGCCAGGCCCAGCTGTCACACGTGAGTGCCTGTTGGAAGGACTTGCCCACCTGGATGACATCCAGACTGGCGGCCCCAGCGCGCCCCACATTGATGGTGACTGGCTTTACCAGAGCACTCTTGGCAAAGTTCTGAATTTTCTTCGGCATGGTAGCACTGAAGAGTAGTGTCTGCCGCTGGCCCTGAAGGGAAGACAGGGTTGGAAAAGGGCTGGGGGTGCTGGGGAGGTCAAGCAGCTGGGACAGTGGTAGACAGTAAGAGGCCTCAAGGCCCTCCTCAGTTAGATGTGGTGAACAGGAGATGGGAGGTGGGAGGCGGAAGAGTGGCAGGAGTGCCCCAGCCTGGTGAAACGGCCACCTTGAAATAAGAGAAGATGGTGCGGATATCACCCTCGAAGCCCATGTCGATCATGCGGTCCGCCTCGTCCAGGGCTAGGTAGCGGCAGATGTCTAGGCTGACCATCTTCTTCTGCAGCAGATCCATGAGGCGCCCAGGGGTGGCCACCATCATGTGCACACCACTGGGGAAGCAGGAGAGAACCTGAGGCAGGGACCACACGCACACCCCACCTAGAGGGTGGCATTTGATGCCTCTCCGCACCTAGTACCACCTCAGCCCTCCCATTACCCTGCCACACATACAGACATAGCTGTCCTGGGACTGCTGCAGCCTGCTCAATACCTTAGACAGGCCAACTGAAGAACTTTTTGGGGGACACTTGGTAGCCCCTTCACCTCTGTGCCTTCTGCCTAAGAATGCCGTGCCCCCCCGACCTGAGATGCCCTCACTCTATCTGCTGTGCTCCCGATAACTGACATTCCTCTGCTCCACCAACAGGACTCTACTCAACTAGAAGCTCCTAGAGGCCTGGGCCTCCAGGAGGCCTCCAAGGCTCTGTGGAATGGCTCATGCCAAGGGCCCTTTAGTTGGTCTAGGGGCGTTGAGGAGGCGCATGGGGTGAGAGTGCTCACTGTCGGATGGTCTCCATCTGTTCTTTGACGGACATGCCCCCGATGCAGAGAGCACAGCGCAGGAGTGGCGAGCTGTCCTCCTGCAGCAGGCGGCAGTAATACTCTAGGATGCCATGGGTCTGCCGGGCCAGCTCCCGCTGCAGCACAGGAGCAGAGGCTGGCACCAGAAGTTGGTCCCGTGTCTGCTCTGCCCCCCAGGCCAACCTATCTTACCGACGGGCAGATAATGAGTCCGTAGGGCCCCTCCCGCTTGGAGAAAGGTAACCTTTTTTCTTGTTCGAGGCAAAACATGATGACGGGTAATGTGAACACCAGCGTCTTGCCTGAACCCGTAAAAGCAATACCTATCATATCACGGCCGGACAGACTGTGGGGAGAAAACAGGCCTGAGGGTGAGGTTCAGCCCAGTTTCTCCAGACAGCAACCTAGAGATGGCGTCTCTTCATCACCACCCTCCCTAGGTTCACACTTACATGGTGGGGATACCCTGGATCTGAATGGGTGTCGGATGGTGTATGCCTTTCTTCTTCAGACCTCTCAGGATGGCTACGGAAAACAACCGTGTGTCACCTTGTGTCTTAAGGATACCTTACTGGGTCTCTAAACCATCACTTTCAAGCATAAATAATGACACCATTAGTAAGAGACAGACAAACAAGCATACTTGTCTAGGGCCCGAAAATAAAGCAGGTCAGCCCAAGGCCAATGTCAGTTGTCCCTTAACGCTGCCTAATGGCAAAGGGAAGTGAGTGTATCCAGCTGGGGGAACTAAAAGACCTCCTCAAATCCCTTCATCTGCTGGTGAGACCCAATGCTGCAGCTGGTGGGGGATATAACCTCACAAGTATTACTATCAAACTGTGGCACCCCTCTCAGCTCCCAGGTACCTGCAGGAAACTTCATCTCCTTGAAGCTCTTGATGGGTGGTGGAATACCATCTCCTTCCACTAGGATGTGGTACTTCTTCCGTACACGCTCATGGCGCTCTTCAGACATGCTCAGGACATAACGGGGAGGTGTCCAACTATGGGTAAGCGGTAGCAGTCAAGAGGGGGACAGCTGGCTTTGGGGTGCCCCTGCAAGTCACAGCTACATACTATTAAAAGGGTGACTGGCTTGCTACAGACTGGAAGGACATATACCTGGTTTTGATTGGATCATCATATGTGATTCCCTTAGCCATCTCCTTCACTGACATCAAGGCTGAGGAGAGAGATGCGGCTCAGGGCTGGCACCTGCTTCTCAGAGGCCAGGGCCCTTGAGACACAGCCAGCCTGGAGGGAGGAGACAGTCCACCTTCTCCCTGACCAGGCCAGAACCATACCTCGGCCCTCAGCCACACTCTCCAGGATCTTCTCTTCTTCCTTCAGCTGCTTCTCCTTGGCAGATTCCTTGCGGGCTAAAGAAAAAAAGCACAAGGTGAAACAGACACCAAAGCAATTGGCCAAAGTAAGCCTCCACCTGGTCGCGCAGCCCACCTTCAGCCTTCTCTTTGAGGTGTTGGTGCTGATCCAGGAGGCTGACGTTAGACTGGGGGCCGAGTGGGATGTCATCCTCATCTCCCCGGGGCTCACTTCCGCTGTCCTGCTGCTCTTCCTCTGTAGTTCCCTTGCGCCTTCGCTGCAGCAGCTTCTGGAGCTGAGGTTCCACGAGTGCCCCTTAGAGCCAAGCCCAGGACAGAGCAGGGCATTGGGCTCAGGGACTTCATCAGGACCTTGGCTTCTGAAAGAGGGTCTCGTGCTCTGAGGCGCCGAGCTGCCTCACATCAGGTCGCCAGTCCCTCTTCTGACTGGATACCTCACCACCTGACCTGCACAGCCGATGATAACCGCCTCCCTCCCACCCCCGCCCCCCATTCCACCGAGAATCGCCATCTCACACCCACCCTCCAGAGCCGGCCTCACCAACAACTGCCGACGTTGTCGTAGTGGCACGTATGGCACGTAGTCGTCATCGTCCTCATCCTCTGCTTCGGAGAGGCTTCCTGAGGCAGTGGCCTCATCGCTCCGAACCCGCTGTGGATACACTCCAGTCAGGCTCGGTACCCCCTCCCCCAATCTTCTCTATCGCTCCCCACCCGCGCGGACCCCAGCCTCGCTCCCAACCTTCCGCTCGGGTTCCGACTCCTCCATCCTTTGCTGCACGCATGCGCATCACGGCAAAATCCCGCCTCTACTTTGAGAGAAGTCCAATCAGATGTAAAGAAGCAAATATCGGCGCCTAGCAACGACTTCAGAGTGCCGGATGCCTAAGTGGGACAAACTTCCCTCCAGCGCTCCCACGAGCAGCTGTGCAGTCGTTGCAGGGCTGAGAGTGAACGTACCAGGCAAGGTATTGTGGGATGCTGGAGGCCTTGGACCTTGAGATAAAGACTCAAGGCCGAGTAGAAGAGAGAAGCCTCCTCGAAGGCTGGCTTTAGAGCAAGAATTTGCATGTCCCCGCCGGCGGACATTATGCCCTCTAGTGGGGGAGCCCCTGAAACAAGCCGGGATCGCCAGACCTATGAAGTCCACGAGGGGGTGGGGGGGAGGGGGTGATGTTGGGAACAGGGTGGGGCCTATATAAGAAATGACGCAACGTGAGCTCTTAGACTGCTGTTTTTGACTGTGAGACATTGTCTATGTTGAGAAGTAAGACAAAATATGGCGGCAGTGGCTTTTAGCTGAATCTGTGCATATGGCTGTACAATTATTACCCTAAATGCTGTAATAACAGGCCTGGGGAACCTGGCAGAGGGGGCTTTGAGGAGTCTGGATCAGCACTTCAGGTGAACATGGAACCTCAGAGCAAGAATGAAGAGAAGCTACCTGCTAGAGGGCACAGCAGGAGTGAAGGCCTGGTCACATGAAACATGTGAGAGCGTGGTATAGAACTGGAGGTGTGCCATGCAGGACACAACTTAGATATTTTGTTTATCAAAATCAGCTAAGCCTGGAGGGGTGGATGGGGCCCAGAGCTGGCGAGGCCGTGACAGAGAAACTTAGCTTCACTGGGGACTGTTTTTTTTTTTCAGAATGATAGGTCAGTGCTGTTTTCCCCATCATTGGGGATAGAAAATGAGCAAGACATAAACCTGGCTGGTGAGTTGAAGACAGAGAATTATACATGGGTCACTCCTCTTAGTTTAAAGAAAACTATGGTAAGACAGACAAGGTACTTCTTTTGGAATTACCACAAAGGTAGGGCAAACATTCTCATGGTAAAAGTACTCTCTCAGGCCCTCCCTGGTGGCGCAGCGGGTTAAAGCGCAGCACTGAGAAGCTAAAGCCACTTCCGCATGAGTTCGATTCCCACCTGCCCCGGAGGTGACCACATGGCTGGCAGACCCTCTCCTGACCCACCCGCTGCTCCCCTCAGCAGTGTACTTCGTAGATCTGTCTGTTCTGCTCCCCACTCTGTCTCTGGTGAAGCTTCTCGCCGCCTCTGAGCCTCTAGCCTGTACCCCAGTTCTGTATGAATAAATAAATCTTAAAAAAAAAAAAACAGTACTCTCGGCCCTCCCTGGTGGCGCAGCGGGTTAAAGCACAGCACTGAGAATCT